CGGGGGGCCCCGGGGGGGGATGGCGGACGGGACCCCTGGCGCCCCCCCCCCGGGCTCGCCCCGGCCTGGGCCGCCGCCCCCCCACCCCGAAGCCGGCAGCCAGCTGAGTCCCCGGCGCCCCGCCTCGGGGGGCTCCACTTGCAGCAGCCGCGACAACTCGGCCGAGAGAGACCCCCCCGGCCTGGCCAGGGCCGCCCCTGCCGCCGGCATCATGAAGGTGGGTCCCGATCCCCAGCCCCTCCGTCCCCTCCCCTTTGGTACGTGCGTCGCTGGGTGTTTGCCTTCTCCCCCAGGGTTTCCCCAAAAAAATCCTTAATGCCATCCTAGGAGCGATCGCGACCCCCCCCCCACCCGTAACCGTGTCTGTCCTCATCTGACCTTCTAAATCCGAACCGAGGATCCGGGAGAGGCTCCAAACCCATCTGTCTTTTCTTCTACGAACCACAGTAAAAAGCCCCCTCCCCCGCCGCATTCTTCCCCTTTCCAAAATGCCTAGCCTTGGGTTTCCTGCTTGCCCGAGTACCCTTTCAGGATCTTCCGGCCTGTCATCAAAAAGCCTTCTGCGTATGCTCAGAGGTGCAGCAGTTGCTCTGTTTTTCTATTCTTTAGGGTGGAGGGGGGGACAGATTATGTGGGGTGGGTTTTTAATTCTTGCTCAAATTAAATTTCTCTCCTGGCTCCCAAATAATCTGAACTAGGTATCTAGTCATTTTCAGCAAGAGACCCGAATAACCCCACGCCCCCTGAAAAACGCTATATAAAAAAATATATCCCTGCAAAAAAGGGGCATCTTTTGGTGCTGTTTTCCCAGTGACTCTGAAGAAGATTCCACCCTACCACCACCCCCTGCCCTTTTCTGGTAGCATATTCAAAGTCACTTATGCTTTTTAACCTGTGGCAAAACACGAGTCCAGTGGCTAACAACATTTGTTCCAGTATAATCCTTTGTGACTCAGAGCTCACTTCATCAGATGCATGGGGAGTCCAGCAGATGTATTTATACTTCAAGCGGCAGCAAGCAGAAAGGCAGGGTCGGAGGGGATGTTACAAAAAGAGAAGCTGAGATTCCTGCTTTGTTTTGCTGCGACTCTCTCTCTCCACGTGGATTTAGCCTGTGCTGTTAAACTTGTAAACTGGCTGCTGAAACGCCACCTGTTCGCATATGCAACCATTACCTGATTTCTGGGAATGTTTGACTGCTGAATGGACAAAGATATGGCAGTCAAAGGGATGGGGATGTTTATATGTTAGTGAGGATCTGTTTGTGTGCGCAAGTTGTCGCTTCATGTCGTAGCAATCATGTGATGGATGTATCAAAGAGACCTGTTCACCCATTACCATGAACGCTTGTACATCCTGTATGGATGTTCATACGTTTGTAAGAAAGAGCCAGTATGCATTCATTTTACGAATGAAACCAGGGGCTGGTAAATATGGGGTCTAAATCACATGTTGAGCTGTATATGTGCCTGAATGTGACAGGAGAGTAACTCAGTACATGTGGAAAGAAAAATCAACCTACAGGCAGGTTGTACGCGCATTCCCTGTGACTGACAAAGGCTAGGAATTATTTACAGTGTCTCTATCCTGTCCCGCTTCTTAGCCATGTTGGTTTCCCAAAGCATACTTGTATGAACAGGGCCAAGCAGTTGGACAGATGGATCACACATGTAGAAGTAGAAGAATAGGTTTTTATACCCCGCTATTCTCTACCCTAAGGAGTCTCAAAGCGGCTTACATTCGCCTTTCCCTTCCTCTCCCCACAACAGGCACCTGGTGAGGCAGGTGGGGCTGAGAGAGTTCAGAGGGAACTGTGACTGGCCCAAGGTCACCCAACAGGCTCCATGTGGAGGAGGAATGGGGAATCCAACTCAGCTCTCCAGATTAGAGTCCGCCGCTCTTCACCACCACACCACACTGTATGCGTCTCTCTTGATTACTCTCACACTTGCGCCTGGTGCATGCATTCAGCATCTTCCATGTGGTTACTCAAGAGAAGATCTGGAGTTCCCAGCAGGGCTGTGGCCTGTCTAATATTGTGTAGAAGTGCTGATGTTGGCGTGGGCTGTCTCCACTGAGGGGCTTTTATATGATCCCTGCCATTTGCTCATTTTGTTCTTGTTCAGTGGCTGCAGTCGCGCCGACGGTAGTGGCTGTACATTCAGCCCTTCCCGTGGCTTGTGAAACTGGCACTTCTCTGTGGTGGATTGTTTGGGGCCCACTAATCATGCAAATCGGGTCTTTGAGATGGGGAACTGTACATGTGCACTGGCCCCCTTGAAAAAACCATTGCATTTCAAGCAGTGTGAAAATCCCATCAGTCGTGACCTATACCACAGACGTCGCTTGACTTTTACAGTCATCGAGCGCTTAACATGCATATAGGAGTCTGGACTGTTGTCAATGCACACTTAACGGGGCGAAGTAGTAATTCTAATTTGTGTTGGCTGTAGTGGATATGGAGCTCAGTAGGCGATGGGTGAAATAACATTGTTTGTGCAGTGCGGTGAGATAGGAACATCTCACAGGAATGATTTATGAGGTCTGTCAGTTGCTACTAGCCATGGTAACCAGAGGGACCCCCGTACCAAGAGGCAGCAAGGTTCTGAATGCCAGTGCGAGGAGGCAATACCAGGGGAAGGCCTCGGCCTTCATGCCCCGTTTATTGACCTTTCGGGACAATTGGTTGGCCATGGTGTGAAGCAGGATGGTGGCCCAGCAGGTCTGATCCAGCAGGGCTGCTCTTGGTGGGGGTGGAAAGGCCCCTCGGGTCACAGCTGACTTACGGTGACCCTGTCGGGTTTTCCAGGCAAGAGACGCTCAGAGGTGGCCGGCCGTTGCCTGCCTCTGCATCACGCCCCTGGTATTCCTCGGTGGTCTCCCATCCAAATATTAACCAGGGCCGACTCTGCTTAGCTTCTGAGATCTCACGAGATCAGGCTGGCCTGGGGTCTCCATGGCAGGTCAGACTCAGGGCCAGTGTTCCCTCTAAGTTGAGTTAGGGTGAGCTGGCTCACAGTTTTTCAGCCTCCGGCTCACAGCTTTTTGCCTTAGTTCAGGAAGGATGGCTCCAGAGCAAACTAATTTCTGCAGCAGCCAAATCGCCGGCTCACCACTTTAATGCCGGTCGCTCACAAAGTAGGATTTTTGCTCACAGGACTCCGCAGCTAAGAGGGAACCTTGCTCAGGGCTGCTGTTAGGATTTTGTGATTTTTAAGTAAAGGTAAAGGTTCCCTTGCTTGAAAGCCAGTCGACTCCGACTCTAGGGTTGCGGTACTCATCTCCGTTTCAAAGCCAAAGAGCCCGCGCTGTCCGAAGACGTTTCCGTGGTCATGTGGCCGGCATGACTAAACACCAAGGCGCACGGAACGCTGTTACCTTCCCACCGAAGTGGTACCTATTTATCTCCTTGCAATTTCTTGCTTTCGAACTGCTAGGTTGGCAGGAGCTGGAACTAGAGACGGGAGCTCACTCCGTCATGCGGCACACTCGGGTCTCGAACTGCTGAACTGTGATCTTTACAACCCTACATAAAAATAGGTCAGTATCAGGGGTGGATTAAGGCTCACTGGTGCCCTAAGCACTGACCAATCTTGGTGCCCCCCTCCTTTCCACACTGACCCCGTCCATTTTAGTTGTTGACCTGTCTGACCAGATATACAATGCAGGTTGCAGCAAAACAAACATTTATTCATATGATAACACAATATACTGTACAAACTAAGCTTTTCACCCTTTCCCCAACTTTGTAGTGCCCCCTTTGGCCCTGGTGCCCTAAGCACGTGCTGAGTCTGCTTAATGGTTAATCTGCCCCTGGTCAGTATCATACTCTTGTCAATGCGGGGGTGGGGGGACAGACAACAACTCTGAGAGTCGGTGGTTGGCCTAAGGCCAGTGTGTTGTAGTGATAGGATCTGGGAAACCCAGGTTCGAGTCTTCACCCTGCCGTGGAAGCTCGCCGGATGACCTCGGGTCAGCCGTGCACACTCTCGGCCTCACCCAGGGCTGTCGTGAGGCTAAAATGAAGGAGTGGAGAACCACGTGAGCCATTTTGAGCCTCCGTTGGGGAGAAATTGTGGAGGCCGGTGTGGTGAGTTCATGGCAAAAAGATCACCTTGAGAACTGGGACTTGTCAGCATCGTAGGACGGTCGCTTCATCACGGTGCTTTATCGGCAGCCATGAGAACGATCCCAGATTCAGAAAATGCAATACAGGGGTGTGAATGGGAGCATTTGGCATTGGCAGCACCCCTTACTTTAGTGTGTCTTCCCCTCCCTCCCTCCCTCCCTGCTGGCAGAGAGAAGTAACCGTGGCAGGTAGATCTTCCAGGGCATCTGGGTCAGCTAGCCGAGTCCTGATTGACTTCTCCTCGCCTGCAGGCCTCCCTGCCTCGGTTTCCCATTCTGGGGAGCCAGGGAGATGCCCAGTCAACTGGCTGTGCCCTCTCTTCTGTCTCGGCAGAGGCTCTCCCGTGGAAATGGCAAGAGTATATGAGAAAATCCCTGGAAGGCTTCGTTGACATTTTCCACGCTGCGATTATAGTCATAAAATTAGGCTGAAAGTCATCAAATCTGGCTGCCTGCTGGAGAGCCGAGCCATCTTGCGCACGCAGACACCCCCCCCACCCTCACCCCCGAAGCACACAGGCACGCGCTGGCTGCCGGCTGCTGCAGCATCTGGTCCTCCGTGCCCAGGATTGTCTATTCTGACTTGTGGCAGCGTTCAGGTTGCATTCGGACATCGCAGACAAGCCGGAGGGGGTGGTTTCGACTGACTGCGTTTTAATCCCATCCTTCTCCTCTATGGAGAAGGAAACTCACAGGGCGACCTTGGGCCAGTCACACGCTCTGAGCCTGACCTACCTCACAGGGTTGTTTTGAGGCTAAAATGGAGGAGGGGAGAATGACAGAAGTCACTTCCTGTGCCTGTTGGGGAGAAAGAAGAAGAGGAGATTGGATTTATACCCTGCCCTTCACTACTCAGGGGAGTCTCAGAGCGGCTCACAAACTCCTTCCCTTCCACACAACAGACACCCTGTGAGGTAGGCTGGGGTGAGAGAGCTCTGACAGAAACTGCTCTTTTTCAGGAACACCTCTTATCAGAACTATGGTTTGCCCAAGGTCATCCAGCAGGTGCAAGGGGAGGAGTGTGGATCCAAACCTGGTTCTCCCAGATCAGAGTCTGTGCACTTAACCACTACACCAAATATCCCAGAA